TTAGTCTTCATTTGTTCGACTGACAGCGCGATACTGCGATGACATTACAATTTAAATTTCGAATAGGTTGACTTGGTACATTTTTTTCGTGGTTTTTGTATTAGACCCGTCGTCCATTTATTTGTAAGTCAATGTTTGAATTACAAAGATCTGAAGGGCACTGCAACTGAGTCCGTCACTCTGAAACATAAGTTGACAAATCTCATGCGCCTGTAATTTCACCAGCACCCTTACCCTTCAAAACTGGAACGCAGTAATCTCACTCACGTTACTGCTTGGACAAAAAATACTTCTCATAATAACAGCATGTACGCCAAATATATTTCAAATATAAACATGTAAATTTGTTCAGGGATAAGGGAATTAAATTCAACTCAATGCGGTTTGATATGAAAACAGCCAGAGTCAAAGCATCATGCTCTCTGTGTTTTTGGCCATAATAATATGGAATTCCTATCTTACATAATATACGTTATTATATTATACTAACAATCAAATAATCTTTATTATTATCTTATGTAAGCAAATTGCGCTCGCCATATTGATTAAAATCATATTGATCATTATCAACCAGTATATTTTAGTTTTCTGAATGGGATAGAAGGAAAGGAGGGAAGAGACCAAAATGTGGCATTTTTTTATTTCTTGGCCGTCAAGTTCAAGGCTGTAGGGTCTGTTGGATTCAGGGTGTTGGTCTGGTTTATGTAATGACACTCTGTATAATAAAATATTTCACTGCTTTGTATTCTTCGTTTAGCTTTCTTAGCCTCCTTCCTGATTTAGTTCGGCCGCCTATATTGCAGCGTATGACGTCTATGCAATCGATGTCGGAGTAAAGAACTCAACAGTATTATGCGCATTATCCTTAAAAATAAAAAATACCCAGAATAAACGAGCATCTTCTTAAAGACTAAGATAGATAAAGGAGGCGAAAGAAAGATGTAAGGAGAGACCGTATCAAGTATATTTTAGCAGCAGAAGAGTTCGTCTAGGCAAGTACTGCCACATTATCTATTTCTGCCGCCAAGCAGTGATATGAACATTACTACGTTCCTGTTTCGAAGGGTAAGGGTGCTTGTGAAATTACAGGCACATGAGACTTGTCAACTTATGTTTCAGGGCGTGAGGCGCAGTGGCAGAGCCCCTCAGATCTTTGTGATTTAAAGCTCTGAGTGGCACTGCAACAGGCGTGTCCCCCAGGCACACAACTTGTTCGTCCCATCAAATAGTTTAAATAAAACTCTACTGCTACTTGTTACCTTGAGAAGACTGAGCAAGCAACTCTAAGGCTTGCTCTTTGTAAATATACAAATGCACAAGTTTATCATTTACAATATTTATTTGAAACATAGATCGAGACTACCTGCAAGAATTAAACGGGTCACTATTACGGATTTTTGTCTTCCAAGTAAGCAGAAGCTGTGTAATAATCTTTAGTATACTAAAGTACACTGCGCCTGACGCCCTGAGACATAAGTTGACAAGTTCCATGTGCCTGTAATTTCACAAGCACCCTTACCCTTCGAAACAGGAACGTAGTAATGTTCATCAAGTTCTTGTTTCACTATAGTTTTAAATCTCGTGAATGGCAAATGTGGAATACAACCGGAATCTTATATATATTATAGAAGCGTGACTATATACATTGTGTATTTGTAAAGATGACTATCAAGAACAGCTAGTTTTTATGAAACTTTATGTTTATTTCTTTTCATAACTATATTTATCCCTTTGCAGACAATGAATTTATATTTAAAATTACTGTCCATGATCTCAGCATAAGTGTTGTAATAGAATGCCAACGCCTTTGCATTGCCCCGGCTCAGCCAATTACTTACTGAACACTACCTAATACCTAAGGATCTTCCTTCTCCAACACCTACACTACACTAATTTATAATTGAAATTGACTTGTAACGCCCTGGTGGAAGCCAAAACGCTGTCAAACGGTTTTCAAACTAACTATAGTGAATAGCGTGTGAGTGCCAAGCACGTGCTAATGGCGGCCTTGGCGGAATTCACGAGATAGAGACGGGATGCGCATCACAAACATTTCTTTACGACATTAAACAAGTCTTTGTTGTTTGACGAACGATTTAAATGACACAGTAGATTTGCTTGGTGGACATAGAACCCATACATACGTACGTGCATTTTTTAAACATATTAATATTACTGATTGATTTACTAAGGTACCAAAAGACTTTGTGCAAATAAAATAATAATATCGTGCTGAAAGCTCCCGATAATATGGAAATAACTGAACGAAATACTGAAAGATCTGAAAATCTTGGTGACGTAATACGACTACCAATTTTATTTATACTCTACCGAAAACGATTGTTAGCCATTTTTATCTCAACAGACGTTTTACTTATATCAAGTGACGGGATGGGACGAACAAGTTGTGGGTCTGGTAGTAAGCGACACGCCCGTAAATAACAGTTGCAGTGACAATCAGGGCTTAAACCACAAAGATCTGAGGGGCATTGCCACTGCGCCCGTCACCTTGAGACATAAGTCGGCATGTCACATGTGCCTGTAATTTCACCAGCACCCTTACCCGTCGAAACCGGAACGCAGTAATGCTCACATTGCCGCTTGGCGGCAGAAATAGGTAAGGTGGTAATAAATCTTTCTTTCGCCTCCCTTATTCATCTTAGTCTTTAGGAAGATGCTCTAAACGAGCATTCAGACGACATTCTGGGTACTTTTTATTTTTAAGGATAATGTACATAATCTTCTTGAGTTCTTTAATCCGACATCGATTGCATAGACGTCATTCGCTGCAATATCTGTGCCTATTTTTTGTCAGCTAGTCGGGAAGCTATACAATGAATTGATAAGAAATGAAATACGAATGCATATACATATTGTGCCTGTGTCTTATTTACCTTATGTTAAATAATGTTTAGGATTTTACGTTCTTTTTTCTGTAAATAATGTTGTGTTGTGTGTATGTATACTGATTTGCGCCTTTTCCTATTTGAATTAAAGAAAAGTAAAAAAGATTTATTTATGTAACATAAATAAACCATTAATAATACAATTCATGTTTATTCTGCATTATATATTTTGGAAAACATTGATTACTGTGTTGATATAAAGTTATCAATATCATAATTTGCTCAAGATAATCAGCAACTGTCTTGTCTGCACCATAGCGTAAACTAGGTTAGCCGTAACTGCTTCTGGATGACAATTAATTAAGCCCTCCGATTCTAAAATAGTATAATTATTGCCAAAAAATTGCTTTTGCTACAGAAACGCAAACATCTACGTTACATAAAACATCTACGTCTTTTTTCGAAACACATTTAACAAAACAGCATTTCAGTATTCTTTTAAGGTCACTTATTTTTGAGAAAAAAATTTCGTGTTCTACAAATAACGTGCATTTTAAAAGACTATTACAGTTTTCGTTGCTGTTTATTTGAGTTATTTACATCGGAAAGCTGTTAGACTGTCCAACTAACAGGAAATTGTTATCGTTGCCTTTATACGTTTGCGTAAGGAGGTGTCTTTAATTATATCTTATGTTGTGTTCAATCCGAAACACCATGCGTTGCTTTGCGGTAGAAATAGGCGCTGGTATATATTCAGGGTTATCGGTAGAACTCTACCAGTAAATCTCTGTGCAAAGCAATAAAATAATTTCAATATAATCTCTAAAACGTTTTCGATGTACGAGCCAATGTTTAGTGAAAACGGTGGATCAGAACATTTTGGTGATCGTCCAACGTTAATAGTGTAGAAATATCCGAACAAGATTAGCGCGTTCAATTAAAATTTAAACACATTTAAAATACTCCAAGATTTCTTTCTATTTATTTTGTAAAGATTCGTTAACAGTCGCTCTGATAATTTTCTTTTCTAAAAATCACTTTCGTTTGCGGTTGAATGACCGGTGTGAAAATATGCTTAGGTATAATATAAGTAGGATTTATTTATGTGTTTGTGATACGTAATTATTAAAATTGGATATTACATACATTGGATATACAATCAGCGTCGAAATGATCTAAGTGTTCAGTGTTTAAGAACATTTAAAACATTTTGATAAAAACTAAAATCTTAATAAATTTCAGATGCACTTTTAAATAATTTCAGGCGAATGTGTGTTCAACGAATATCAAATAATTTTTAGTGGGATAGGGTTATTTTTTTTTATATTGAAGTGTTACTTAGGTCTATTTTGGTATCGACTATACCGACTTTAGATAAAACATTCCTCTGCAGTAAGAAAGGGTAAACATCCACTTTTTGGATTAGGACCACATAAACATTTCATGCTAAAGCGAACATTATGTTTTTAGCCAAAGCGAAAAGTTTGTTTCGACGTTTTCGTTGTTAAAAGATTTACGGATGTTACGATTTACTTGAGCAGACAAAATATGCCTTGAATATTACCGTTTATTGTCCAGATGTATATCGAACAGCATGAACAACTAATTGCTCCTGTCTAATTTCGTCCTGTTTTATGTGATGATCATTCGTATCTGGTAAATCGATAAATTTTCCCTGGCTTATGCGAGTTGTTGTAAGATTACTCTGAGGTGCAAAATACACACACCGTTTGACGCAACAGCGGCAAAGCATAGAGTAACAAGTAAATTTGTCGCTGGTGGTGTTGAGCAGCATGTGTGTTTCACCTAATGCCATTGCGAAATATACGATGTGTTCCTAATCCAAATTCGTACATAAACTTTTAATGTCTAGCACTTTCACACCGGAAATGGTACGAGTCAATCATCGATCGGGTTTCGCTGCAATTAAGTATCACTATGATGCAAAACGATCGGGGTAAGGGTGAACAGCGCGTAGAGTTGCGGTAAATAATAATCGCAGAGGTGTCGGAAGTGAGATCAGTGTTGTTTTGACGATTTGCCCAAGACAAATTGTAGGCGAGGCGCCCGTTATTGGGGTCGCGACCAAAATACATGGCGGCGGACGGCGCAGACGGCAGTAGGCGGCAAGCGGCGCGGGCGCACGCGCCTACCGCGCGCTTCACTCCCGCACCCGACCGTGCCGGCTCATTTACTACCGCGCTATATTTAACCGCTGCGACCAGATTAATATCTGCATGTTCCTCCTCAAAAATAAGTGATCCGTCTCTGGACAAAACGAGTGACGTGAATACTGGACCGCGAGTGTTGTTCTTGTCAGTGCCATTTAAATGACTGGATAACATAAACATTAATTCTTTTCGTATATTGCAAGGCAGGAAGTAAATACGATTCACGGCAAACTGCGACCCTCGTGAGTATCTCATAACTATTGTCTACTGTTTGTCAAATTGCCAAATCGCGTTCAATACTACTGTTGTTCCATAAAAATCATTTTTATGTATGTCATATAGTAGACGAATCAAGGACATGATTTGATAAAATAATGTTCATAAATTTATTTCAGAAAATGAATCCGCCGTCAGCGATTCACAGCGCCATGAGCCGCGAGCGCAAGCCGTTCACGTACACTCCGGGGGGACTGGACCTCTCCGAGATCAAGTCTGAGCGGATGGCCAAACGGCTGATGAGGAATGCGATGAACCAAGGAGTGCCCGAGTTACCCCCTCAGGCGTTGCAGTCTCCGCCAACGCCGTCTACGCCAATAGCCGTTCCTAATTTCAATTGCTTGCCGGTTCAAGTGTTTCCAACCATCAATTTGCCAGCAAATCCTAAATCGCTATTGAGAACGCGTAGTATTCCAGATCAACCCAAAGAACCACCACAGTCAAAAGTGTCTCCACCTACTCAAGCAGTTAACAATTATAATTTTAAACCAAGTGGAATTGAACACTTACGTGAAACTCTCAGCAATAATACGGGGGTATATCCACTTGTAAACAATAATAGTTTGAATAACAGTCGGCCAACTTCGCTGTGCGAAAATAATAGTAATAGGCCAGCACCTATGTTTGAGTACAGTACATCTACTTCGGACTGCAACATGCGGAGTCTACCGACAACAAATTATGGAAGTAACGCCTATACGGCGTCTGTGCTGCCAGAAATTAGTTACGATGCTGAATTTCTGACTACCATACCAAGGAAAGTTGATACCGATAATAGTTCTATTAATGTTTTAATAAGCAATGGAAGCAATTCGACAACGATCAATGAAACCGAATCAGCGGCAACAAATTTTACAATAAAGCCCATATCAGAAACATGTATTCCCATTGAAACAAAGCCTGTTGAAGAAAATGACGCGACTGATGTTAATGATGAACAGGTTGACTTAAAATTACTGTACACTTATTATATTTACATTTATATGTTTGTTTACATAATATGTTATACGTATTTACTGATCAACATTAAAGACTTATAATAATCTTATTATTGTGAGTTAATATATGTATTTCTTTATTTATTTATATATCAATCAGTATTATTGTATATTTCTTAACACGATCGGCGATTATGCTAAAAAAGTATTAATCAAACATATTTTTTTTATTTCAGAGAGAAGTCAAGGTGGTAAAGAAACAAGTTAAAAAAGAAAATAAAACTGAGACTCAAAATGGAGATCAGAATGGAAATACGGAAACAGAAATGGTTGTAAAACTACCTGCAAAGAAAGTGGCTCCTAAAGTTGAAACTAAAGTCGATGTTGTTAAGAAAACACTGCCTGATGGATCCGTAGAAGAAATAAAAACAACAACTACGAGGACAACTATTGATGGCCGAACAGAGATTAAAACAAGAACTGAAACTACAGTAATTCCTAAACAAGAAGAGGAAGTTGAGGAAGTGGAAGAGGAAGAAGAAGAAATGGGTGGAGTTGTGGTTGAGGAAACAGAAGAAAATGGTGAAGAAGAGGTTGTTGAAGAACCCACTACGGTAGTAGTCAAAAAAACAATAAAGCAAAAACCGGTTGAGACTAGCAATGTTATCAAAAAAGAGGAAAGAACTGAAACCACAACTACAAAGAAAGTAGTAGTCGTACAACAATCCGCACAGAAAGAAGAGGATGAAGAGGAAGAGGAGGAGGAGGAGGAAGAAGAAGAAATTAGAGATGAACCAGAAACTGTAGTTGTAAAAAAATCTACTGAAACGCCTTCAATCGCACAAAAGGAGGAATCCAAACAAGAAGTAGTTCAAGAGATTAAAGGAAACAATGAAGTAGTTAAAAATGTGGACGCTAAGAAACCAGAGGTTGAAGAAGAACTAGAAGAGGAAGAAGAAGAAGAAGAGGAAGAAGTTGAAGTCGTTAAAAAGAAAGAAGAAACTGTAGCACCGTCAAAGAAAGAAGAGCCTGCCAAAGACCAAGAAGACGAAGAAGAAGATGAAGAAGAAGAAGAAGAAGAAAAGCCTGCAGAACCTGTAAAGCCCGCTGAACCTGCTAAGCCTATCGAAAGCAAGGATCAGCAAGAAATTGACGAAGAATCAGAATATACTGAAGAAGAAATTGAGTCGGAGAAGGAAGAAGATCCTACTCCAAAATCAGATTTACCTAAAGCTGAGCCAGAAAAAGAAGAAGAAAATGCCAAAGAAAAGACGGAAGAGCCTAAAGAACCACCTGCTTCAACTCCTGCACCGGAGCAAAAAGTTCCACTTAGAGAGCCTTCTGTCCCTCTAGAGAAAGTTGAGGAAGTGGAAATTAAACCTATTGGCACGACACATGAATCCAAAACAACTACATCAAGTACAGAAATTATTACCGGAGGAAATGACAAGCCTGCAGGAACATTAAGCACGCAAACCGAATACAATAGATATGAAAATATTGTCACTGTCAATCGTACTACCAAGACGTTGGACCACTCCTACGAACAATTAACGCAGCAAGGTATTCCTACTGTAAAAACTTATTTTGCTCCTGAAAGGGAAAGAGTTTCGATATCACCTTCGAGACCATATCAGTCTACGCAAGTTTACTCTCCATCGTATCCTCAACCACAGCAACAACAAGAGAGACGCCATAGTCTGCTCTTGGAAAGATTAAGTACTGAACGTCAAATGCCATCAGATTTGTATCACAACCAAAATTATCAATTCAATCAAAGCTTTGACCAACAAAGGCAATGGTCGCAAGAACCGCAATCTGAAGTAGTTAATGTGAGCAACGTAAAGCCAAGCTCCATCACAAACCAACAATGGTATCAACAAAGTAGGAAGGAAAATGTCATCTTTAATAATATAACACCTTCTGCTCCCGCAGTTTCCAGCCAGCAATGGAGTCAGCCCCAGACCCAGGCTCAGCCTCAGGTGCAACATCCGCTTCCATCTCAACCTCAACCCCAATATCAACCTTCTTACTCTGAATCTTTGCAAAACAACTCTAGAATCAGTTCAAATACTTACCAGCAACAGAGTTATCACACACCCACTCCTACAAACTGGGCTAGCAATAACCTTACTAGCAGTACATTATCCACTGCTAATACGCAATCCAATCAATATTCACTCCTGAGCAGAGACTCTACGGAGAGTTACCAAAAGTCTACACAGCAGTACTCATCTTCTTATGTGCCTCCACCGTGGGAGCAGGACCCTAATTATGTAGCTCCTCCTCTTGAGACACAGAATTTCTATCAACCTCCTCCTTCATCTAACACTTTTAGCCCAGCTTCTAAAGCTGGTTGGAAGCCAACACCACCATCAAGCAAATTTTCTAAACCTATCTCGACTGCATATGTACCACCTGCACCAAACCAGTCGTTCGTGAAGCCAGTGACAGCTACAGAGCTACCAAATTTACCCGGACGCAAGACGTATTATAGCGAATATGAACGACGATATATAACGGTGCCAGAATCTACTTATATCCCATCAGAGACAAAGTACCAACCTCAACCGGATCCATCGCCTCAGTACTACTACGATAACAATGAACCTTGTGAATCTGTCGAGCCCACGTGGCGTAAAGAGCTTCGCGAATTCACTGAGAAAACCACACAACAAACTGCATCATCAACTGTGTCATCAGTGAGACCTCCTTGGGAAGAAGATCCTAAATACGCAAAGGTCCCTACTGTATCTTACAATCCAACGCCGTCGTGGAGTCAAACGCTTCGGCCACAGTCTTATCGCGAAAGAAGTTTTGAGGCTGAGCTTGTTGGATCAAATGAATGGTCTAAGACCAATACTCTGGGTCGAGGCCGACCTTTGAGTTCCTACGGAAACACCAACATCGACGTTTCTGTTCCTGAACGACCAAGAGGGGTGTCAGTTGACAGATACAATCCTAACTACTACCAGTCCCCTCCAAATCCGTCCGAGCACGGTCCCGTGCAATCGCACACTTTAACTCCGACTCCCCCGGCGAAAAGTTATCACAATCCCAACGTGCCTGCCTATCACGCTCGGGCTTCAGCTGAACCTAGGTAAACCATTCAATATTTTACATGGTTTCATATTTATTTGTGTTAAGATACGTATTTTATTGACGAGTGTAATACTATTTTCCAGAGAGCAGCAGCCTACAATTCCACAACCGCGCAACTGGGGAGATTCTCGTCACAGCCCAATCCAGTCGAGATCCTTTAAGTACCTCCAGTGGATTACCGGCACTGAAAATTGAGCATCAAGCAGACATTAGTTTAGTGTTAAGGCTTAATTTATGTAACATAGAGACGTAGTGAGAGCAACTTTGGAAGGTAGTGATGTCGGACTCTATAACTGTGCGCAATTGGTAGGTCCTATGAGTATCTTGTTTCTGTGCCAAATTAGCCGAAGCGATTTTTAATGCAAAAGCGAATTTTATGTTTGCCTGTCATCATTAATCGTAATGACTATTTATTAGCTCCACATGTAAAATCAATCATGTTAACAGTATTAGTCTTCATGTTAACATTTACATTTAAATGTTTCTGCACCTAATGGGGAACGCACATTAATGCTAGATCCCGATCCTTTGGATGAATGATTGCCTTTGGTTTTCTTTGGATACTAGAACGTCTTTGACAGTAATGAGAGAAAACGTGGATGCACTAGCATAGAACACTATCGCTTGCGTTTTGTGACAAGTTTGGAGTCGGCGTCGGGCATTCACGTATCGGGTTTATAGCCTTTACGAGTTTCATAATGATCCTAGAATTCGTCATCCGAATTCAAAGAGATTAAAATTATGAAACCAGAATGCAAACATCCAAAACAGTTGTATGCACGTAATTACTTAAGGTTGTACAATTCGAGACGAATAGATCGATTGAATGTAAAATTAGGTTAAGTTATTCTCTGGTAGACTTTGCACCTTTATCTGTCTGTATAATTTTCATTTGTTTATAATAATTAATTTTGTATTCAGTTTGCCTTAGCGGTACTCTTATACGTATTAAAGTAGACATCTGTATTTGCAGGCTTCGTGCAATTATGTCGTTTATATGTGTCGTTTTGATAATTTACACTTTGTTGAACAGTACTGTAACACGATGATGTGATATTTTGAATTCTTTTTGTCTAACCTAGTCATTGGAGACGTTGTGTCGCTAGTCTTAGTATGACATAAAATTTTCTTAATTTTTATGCCAATGCATTTCTGCTTCAATTGTTTTTAACTAATTTGATATGTAATAACTTTTTACACATTTTTCTACTTATGTGCCATTGTGTAGATAGTGTGTCCTTGTAACTTATTATATTATGTATTTAACTTAATAAATATTTTTTTATGATGTACCCGTACACTACCTTTGCTTAAATAATTTATTAGTATTAGTTATTAAAAATTAACAATACTTATAAAGTAAGGCTTTTTTGATATCGAAGTCAGAAAGTGTTTTAGAAGTTCCTCTTCTCAGTTATAATAATGTAAAAAAATATATAAAAATACATCGTTCTCTATCTACAAGTTGTAACAATATTTTGTTTCCTTTATGTTATTTGTGAAATAATTGTTGAGTTTTTATTTATTAAAACCTGAAAACTTGTATGTATTATTTTATTTACTAGAGACCTTTATCACGTGAGGGCCGCAGGTAATTAATTCGTTAAGGCCGCTGTTGGGTTACATTATCTTTGAAGTATGTCCATAATATAGATTTATGGAGTTCACGAGTTAGTCTCTCTTACTAACTTTGTAAATGCGTATTGCGTCTACAGACAAGTTAGAGCTAATTAAAAATTCAACTGGTTATATAAATTTTAAGAGTCGTGGTTTTTTTTGAATGATGGTGTCCATAATATGTAATTTTAGGTAATTAATAGTAGTAAAACTTTTTGCTCTTCGGAATAGGTTAAGGCGTCTAATTGGTCATACTGCCAGATCTTAGACTGTTAAGTTCATTGACTTACAAATAAATGGACGACGGGTCTAATACAAAAACCACGAAAAAAATGTCCCAAGTTAACCTATTCGAAATTTAAATTGTTATGTCATCGCAGTATCGCGCTGTCCGTAGAACAAATGAAGACTAAAGCGGAGCGTCGCGCTCTGTATACGATTTTAGCGCCTTACAAGTGCGGACACTTTTTAGCGCGGACCCGACGTCCATATAATTGTAAGTCAATGGTTAAGTTCCTAATTTTTTGACATTTTTCCTAAGAGGACGGAAAAAAAGTAATTTTACACGGGAAATCGTTACATTGTTACGGTGGCCATTTTGAAAATCCTTTTTACATTTAACAATGTAAACAAACTTTAAAAGTGGTTATTTATACAACAACGTTTGCTGTCTGTTCGAACATTACTATTAAAAAATATTAACTGATTTTTTTCAATAATTTCACTCAAAGTAATAGTAACTTTACTTTCTAATATTTTATTCTCCATTTGATAAAATGTTATTAAAACATACCTAATTTTTCAGAGGTTTCCTGCAAACTCAATATTTAATTAAAGTAGAAAGTGTCATTCTTCATGTGGCGATATTTGACTTTTGTATTTATGCATTATTTTTGTATTAAATTTTTGTTTTTTCTTTCTTTCTGTGTTACCGTATTGTTTCCTACGATTTTGTGCGTTAAAAACAGCGATGAATGAGTGAGAGTTTTTATCGTACATGTTGGATACCTGTGGAATTTTAATTTTAGATAGCAATCATGTATGTATGTATGTAACCACTTTATTGTACAACAAAACAAACTTACAATTTTTTAACAAAGAACATTCTTTACATAGTGTAGTAAGTATGAAAAATTTAAAAAAAAGTACTTTTTAATTTTTAAAAAAAGAGCAGGTTCTAAATTCGTCTGTATTCTTGTGTGTATGTTAAGCGATTACTTTGACATTTGTAACCAATTTCGATGATTATTTTTGCTAGAAAGGGAAGAATTGAGGAATGCATTGCACCTCTAAGGGTGTCATATTAGGGGACCAATCCGGTTTATTGGATTTCACCCACTTTCTGTAAAATGTTTTCAATAAAATTTGCCAAATAGATGTAATTCCACAAACTTATGAGGTTAATTATTTTTTATGAACAGGTTATAATTGTATTCAGTTTTCCGAAACGTATTTCTGAACGGTTACACTCGCCATTATCACTGATTGCTTGGTCCTATCGGATGCATTATAGCAACAGCCGAAAATTATACATTATACCAAAGAATTCTTCTTCTTAACGTATCGATGGCATACACTATAAGAGCGCATTTATTCGATACGAATTTCACCGCACTCATCCCGCGCGGTCGTCGAGCGGAGTTGGCGTTGCCGCCGCACCGCGTGCGTCTAACTGTCATGGCAAAATACGCTCTATTTATTTATATTTTACGTTGTATTATTCAGAGGAATTTAAATGTTGGTGCCTAATAAATATAATTCAGGTTCGCCATTAATGTGCATGAAGGCGTGGTAGCTGGGCGGACAACTTATTCCTTGTGTAACTGGGCGCTAATGCTTGCCATCGTCACGAAAGGACTTGCCAATCGACGTAAGGTACACGCCGATTGTTGTCCGAGGTGCACCAGACGTACAGTAAAGAATGGCACGTCGTGCAAGGAGGCTCTTCTAGCGCACCCCACAAAAGAATTAGGTATGTGAAAAATAATAGTAGTTTGTGTGACTGTTACATAATGAAAGGCATAATGTTACATAATGTAATACGAGTGTGAGATCGTGAACTTCACACGAGTATTTTAATGCCTAACTATGTATAGTTATCAGAAAGCTTACAATATGTGCATTATGTAAGCTCTCTGTGATGTGTTCAGGAACCGCATGTTATGACCGGCATTGCGGCACTGATCAGAGCTATTAGCAGTAATTATTAGTAAAATAATGCAAAAAACCATTGACTTACTTTACTATTACTTTACTTTACTTTTACTTTACTATTTTCTTAATTATATGGACGTCGGGTCCGCGCTAAAAAGTGTCCGAACTTATAGGGCGTTAAAATCGTATACAGAGCGTCATTCACGCTTTAGTCTTTGTTTGTTCGACTGACAGCGAAGCAAGCAAAATTAGACAATACTGCGATGACATTACAATTTAAATTCAACGTTTTAGCTTTTTCATATTCCTTTACATGTCACTACGTTTAAATAGGTTGACTTGGGACATTTTTTTCGTAGTTTTTGTATTAGACCCGTCGTCCATTTATTTGTAAGTCAATGCAAAAAACCATAAAACTTATTTCTCATACATGTCACGCAACCGTAGTTTTTTTTAATTCATAGAGGAACTAGAGTCGGCCTCAACTATCTTATCGTTCGACATCAAGTAATGTGTGACATTTTTCAAAATTGTTTGCTATTGACATATCATTTCGAATATTCATCTCGACTGATATTAGAATTGAGGTCGAATCAAATTGTTTTGTTTTACAGAGATGTTTGAAATTTGAATGTAATAAAATCGAATTTGATGATAATAATGCAACATTGAGTATATAACCAGAAATAGAGACGAAATAAGGGCCATATATTCCTGGTATACTTTAGCGATACAGCTCTTATAAATATCAACTCCCGTTTGTACTGAAATATAGACAGCCCAACTACTGACCTGTGTATACGTCTCCGTATAATCCAAAAAATATTCTGAATTTATTGTAATAAAGATAATATCTCTAACAACGCCGTGCTGTTCTATTCGGTGGTGTAGGAAAAACAGCAAAACATCTAATTACAAAACAAACGGAATCACATTTCATCGGTAATTAAATATTAAATAGGTAATTTTGCAATTTTCGTCCATTATACCAAAGCTCAAGTTAACTGGTCGATAAGAAGTGAAACAGTTGACGACACCCGTCAATCGTTTCGAACTCGGGCTAGCCGATCGGAGCACAGTTGTCACAGTAATGATATGGCAGAATTGTTTTCAAACAAATTAAATGACATTTCGCCTCTATTTCTGGTTATATACTCGATGTAATGCTATAATATCATTTTCACAGATAAGAAATTTGTTCTAACAAAACAGTTTATCTTCATGCTGGTTGTAATTTGAGGTTTTTGAATACATCTTAGAGGATTTATGATATGTATGTGGATAAATATCTTTTTGGCAAGTAAATTGTTTCAAAACATTGAGTGTCTCAAATTCTCTCTCTCTCTGCTGGGAATTAACTTTAGCCTCCCTACCACCGCACCGCAGCGTAGGCAGATCATTCACAGGGTGTACCGATGAACTGGTGAAGATTGCGGAAATCAGCTGGATACAAGCAGCGCAAGACCATGGCAAGACCGGTAATTTTGGCAATCTTTTGATTTAGACTTTTTAATAATACATCATAAAATCACTCTCAATTTTATTTGTTCTGTACGAACATAGACACAGTCAGCCTGGTAATGACTAAACGTCACTTTGACATATCACTGGCGATGATACACTAACTTTTGTATATTTGTCTATCGTAATTTTTAAGTTTATTGAATGTCACGTTGTTTGACTACCATGATAAATTCAATTCAATTATTTAATTATTCAATTATTTTTGTGAAATTATTCCACTAGTTTGTTATAATTATTAATAAAAAGATCGATTTTTGCCGCAGCGTCATTTGTGAGAAATTTATTTCTTCACTCGGCTTTCTCACAGATGGCGCTACGGCAAAAAGTCGTTAAAAATAAAAAACAAAGACCTGCAACAAGCACATGGAAAAATTGGTAAGGTCCACTAGTTCGTCTCTTAGCTTAGTTGGCATAGCGGCACGGTTTGCTAGAAGACGTTGGTTCGAATCCAGCCGGTTCGAAGGATTATTTTCTAAGTGTTCGTGTCTTTGTATTAATTTATTGTCAATTATTTTGTTTTGTTTTAATAATTTGTTTTGATTTGATTTGATTTGATTACTCATATTTAAGTATAACTATAATTGTATAATTAGATCTGATGTACTCCTAGTGGAGTACATCAGACAGAAAACGAAATACACCCTGAAGGTCGAGCGGTTGGAGTCCGGCCACAACGTAAATTTCAATTCATTTAGATCAATGAGAGTGCCGACCGAACATCTATCGACCTTCATGAAGGAAGTGTTTACCTGTCACCAGATTGCGTCACACGTCGCCGAAAAGTGCAATCCGTGCAGATTAGTTAGGAATAGTGTTTTATGATATTGTACGTATCTTCTTCTTCTTCATGTCCTTATTCCACGCTAGGTGGGGTCGGCACAACATGTATTTTTCTTCCATTCTCCCCTATCAGCCGTCATTTTTATACTCACATCTTTCTTATCCATGTCATCTTTCAAACAATCCATCCATCTTTCATACCTAGCACTCTTCTCGTCACATGACAAATTGCCTCCACATGACATGTCCATACCACGCTAACCTATTACTCCTCATCTGTTCTGTCACTGGCGTCCCTTTCAAACTACCCCTGATGTACTCATTGCTTGTCTTATCCTTTCTCGTCACTCCACACATCCATCTCAACATTCGCATTTCCGCTACATGC